TCTTTCATTTTGCGTGTATAGGCATGCAACATTTCGCGTTATACAAGTGTACAATGTCCCTCTGTATGTATCAATGTATGCATATGCATATGCGTATGAGTATGTGTTTGTGTGTGTAAAATGACGACAAGTTGTTTAATGAACATGAATGTGCACATATGCACCATCGCGGTGCACTATCTTTTTTTCTTCGCGACTTAGCGATTATTAATCTACTTATATTCAACAAGGTACTTAATAGTTTTTTTTTTCCTTCCTCTTCCTCATCATTATAATCCCCGAGCTGCTATGTGCTACTTCTATCTCAACAATAACGATCTCATTCAAGTTCTTCGTCATTATTCTTCATTATTTTTTTAATCATTTTCTTTTTTACATATGCTTACCCAAAATAATATACCGTGTATTAACAATCTAACTCTAAGTCTCACTTCCAATAAAATAACATTACATACATTTTTGTACAACCCTCTTAATTATATTTTAACGAATGATCTAGTCGTTTAAATATGCCTCTTTCTTTTATTACAGTCCCACAATTCGTTTTTTCCCCCTTTTCTGCTTTTTTTTTTTTTTTTGTTTGATAATAGTTTATCTTTCGGATAAATTCTTTCTCGGTTATATTCGCTCTGTATTTAAATATTTCGAATTAATTTTTTTTTTTTCAGACATTCAGTCATTAACCGCAATTTTTTTTATAGATTTATATACCGGTATGCATTGCTATTTTGAATACACTTCGAGGCTTGTTTCTTTCTGTTCAATTTCTATGTACGCGGAAAAAAAGCTTCTCTTTTCTTATTTTCTTATCTTTTTATATTTTGCTTTATAAGTGGGATATTCTTTTTTGATTGTACAATGATATCAGAAATTGCGAATTTAGCATTTGGTTATTTATGCAGAAGAAGACACAGTGCGGGCTGAACGTTCGAAATTTGTATTGCGTATCAATGGCGCGAGATTTAATACTTTATCGGTAAATACTATGCACTAAAATCGACTAAAGTCAGGATATTTCTTTTTTTTTTTTTTTGAACTCGTTCAATTATAATTC